TATTTCTTAGCTCTCTTTTAAAGCGTGGAGTTACTATTAGAATGTATTATTTTCATCTATAACTTAAAAATATTCAATGGGATTTGTCTTCGAGAATCATGTCAACAAAGTATGTGTTGGTGATTTTAGGATTGTACACTATGTAATTTCGTTCTCATTAAAATTATCAAAAATACATAAATTGGGTATAAAATGTTTTGATAAATGTTCTGCCGGTTTTACTTTCAAGTATTACTATGTTCTTGAAAAAGTTTAGCGGAGTTTTTCAGTCGTTACTGCCGCATATGAAATCAACTTGTAGATTTCAAGTTCGCAAATATGCAAATTTTTCCTAACTTTGAGTACTTCGCTTGAAGAAACAAAACATTTACACATCGATTTTCTTGCATACGTTTGATGACCAATCTAAGGTCTTACTCTGGACGAAATCCTGTGGGTTTTCTCCATATCGGTCATAACGAAAAATACGTGTGAAATAGGAGTACTTTTTACGTTATCAAAAGTGTGCATAATTTAAAAAATTGTCAAAAATCACTAGTTTCTTTTTAGGACTTTATTTTCAGCCAGAGAACGGTTGAGATAATGATAAACACAACGTGTAAGTATAATCGCTAAAGGTCAAGTCTTTTCGCTATACGAGGTCACGCAAATCACTCTTTGTAAACAACAAAAATTTGCATATTTGACCTCKCTCACAAAAAAAATCGTATCTCGCAAACGAAAAAATATTTTTTAATAAAAACACCACAGTGATTCATCAGACATAATAAGGTACCAAATATGAAAGTTTGAGCGAAATCTAATTTTTTACACTTGCCACGAATTTTTGAATTTGTTTGATGCATGCTGACATTCACTCTTAACCGCTTATAACATACAAAAGTGCAGTGAAATCTACAGAACACGTTAATAGTTCCTCTTTAAAAATGTTCACTGACAGAGTATTGGAATTTGTATTTATCAATGTGTACAGACTGTGTTATAAATAAATATTTTTTCTATATTTTGAGAAGATTATTTTTTCCTTTTTTTTCAAAATAAGAACCTGTTTTAGAATTTTAGCCTAAAATGGTTCTTATGTGAAGGGTGCTTAAAAATAAAATTTTAGCCTAACAGGTTCTTACAGTGTAAATGTTATAGGTTCTTATAAGCGGGTTTTTACTGTATACAAGTTAAATTGCATATTATGGTGTATTGATTATCGGGTAAATAATCATGGAATAAATTTTAAATTTGAACTTCAAAATATAATCACAACAAACTTTTCCCAATATATGAATAAGGTTTCAACGTAAAACAAAACAATGTTCATAAAACTAAAGAATGTATTTCCATTTTCTGAATCTACATAATCCCAAAGCCACTGCTTTGGCTTTCCAGTGCTTTGTTTATGCTATTTCTGAAGCTCTCAAAATCTATGTACAATTTTGGAAGCTCCAATTCCTGTGGACATGTGTTTGCATTTGGTAGACATGAATCTGATTCCATTTGACAAACTGTAATTGTTGATGGCTCATGAAATCCAAGTGGTGGAATCTGGTTTGTTTCAGTACAAAACATCAGCAAATCTGGCAATCTTTGATCTTGATTTGTATAGAAGGCATGGAAAATTGTTGGATAATCAAATTTGTATGTCATTTTTGCTTAAATAAGCAACATCTTACCTTCTGTTTCTATGTATTTCAAAAACATCTTTTTCAACTCGTCTTGCGCATTGTCAAATACAATTAGGTCTTTTTAAAAGGGCACTTGAGTTTATGGGCTCAGAAAATGAGCTTCCCACAAACAAGGTTTTCATTGTGTCTGGGTGTTCTTTTGCCAATTCTAAAAGAGGACCAAATCCAATAGCAAGCTGATCAATTGCCCCTTTCCTGGAGAGAATTACAGAGTGGACACATAAAGCTGTAATTGCTTCCAGTTTATGTGAGGTTGTTAGCCTTTTGGGGTAGCCAGAATCTACCAAAAGTGTTTGAACTTCAGCTGAAACTCTTTGAATATACTCCTCACCAGCAGCATCAATCTACATGTAGGAATAATAATTACAAGAGTAAACTTTGGACATCCACATAATTGAACATTTGCATGCAGATGTAACGTGGCTCTCTGCATAAATTGTGTACACAATTTTGTGTGTGAATAATTTAAAGATTTTTTAACTTTAAAAAATGTAATTATGAATGATACATTGGGATCACAAT